TCTTGTCGGTCTGTTGTATTATCATTGTGTTCTCTGTCCAGTTCCCTGGATCCATCCCGGATTTGGTCTGCCCTACTGGAGAGCTGATCTTTTGCGTTGCCATTGCCCTTCTCCTGCATTACCAGGCCTGGACCAAAAACTAACTTTATTTTTTGATTGAAATTTAGCCCACTCCTGATTTTTCTTTTTCATGTGGTGCTACTAATTTTTACTCCTCTGCTTTTGGGTCCTTTATACAGACACTCCTGACAGACAGAGTGGTTTGATGAACATGACAGTGAAGTTAAACATCTCCCATGGCATGCACTGTCACCAGATGTAAATATTATTGAGCAACTTTGGGGTGTTTTGGAAGAGCGAGTCAGAAAACATAGCCAAGTAGTGATCTTGCCACTATTCTGCTAGAAAGAAGAATGGCTCTAAATTCCTCTTGCCACTGTAGTTTATAGATATATTTGCAAATAAATGGCATGTTAATGTAAAACTGACATAAAAATAGTATCATATAAATGCCATTGTAAAGATGCATTTAGCTTGACATGGGTGCCTCGAATTTTCAACAGTATTGAACTCCACTGGAGCAAGATCATATATTGGCCTTTACAATTTTATTATCTAAAGGTTCTCTACGAGGAATAATTAAAAAAAAAAAGTTAATCTGTGGCATAACTGTGAAAATAAATCAACCTATTAAAATTAGGATATAAGACAATTTCAAGCATATGAAAAAATACATCGGGGTTCTACATATTATGCTACATTTACAATTTCAGATATTTAGTCCAGACCTCACTTCTTCAACTCTACAGGGAAAAAGAGCTTAAGTCCCAAGCCTTAGAGAATGCTCTAATATAAATGTCTGATTGCTGGGAAAAGGTAGAGTAGGAACTATTGCTGAGAAAAGGTAGAGTATGAACTATGGGTTTTTCTTTAACGCTTTTACCAAATATTGTATTATTATTGTGTTTATTAATGTCTATAGTTTAACAGTTCTTTATCACAGACACACACAAGGAAAACAGGTGTCATGAGCTCCCATCCTGCAAACCTGACCTTTGTTCGTCCTGCAACATTTTCCCTTAGTGGTTTTTCCAATATGCCACAGGCAAAATACTATTACATGTTCTTGTCTTTAGTGTATGCTGTGACTGTTTTGGGGAATTCATTTATCATGTGTATCATTTATTTAGCTCGCAGACTTCACACAGCCAAATACATTGTTGTTTTCCATCTGGCACTTTCTGATTTGTGTGGAAGTTCAGCTTTGATTCCAAAAATCATAGAAATGTTTTTATTTGACCACCAGGACATTTCATATGAAGCATGCTTAACAAACATGTTTTTTGTGTATCATTTCATGAACCTACAGTCTTTGACACTACTTGCTTTGGCTTATGACAGACTGGTTGCTATTTGTTTTCCTCTACAGTATCATGCCATTGTAACCAAATCAGCAATGTTTCTGATCATAGGAGTGATGTGGATTGTGTCTGTGACATTTTTTTCTATACTTGTAGGTTTGGTGAATACAATATCTTTTTGTAGATCTAATGTATTGAATAGTTATTTTTGTGACTATGCCCCAATCTGTGGACTAGCTTGTAATGATATTACTATAAATATTTTGATAGGTAAAACTTCCTATGGCCTCCTGATTTGCACTCCACTCATACTGATCTTCATCTCATATTTCTGTATTTCCGTGGCTCTGCTCAGGATTGCTCATGGTGCTGAAAGAATCAAAGCCCTAAAAACCTGCACCTCACATTTCATGTTGGTGGCAATGTATTATCTACCAGTTTTAACTAATATAATTGCATCTGCAACAACCCCTTTGCATCCAAATGTACAGATCATTAACAATTCCCTGACACAAGCAATACCACCTATGCTGAATCCCATCATATACACTCTGAAGACAGAGGAGGTCATGCAATCCATAAAAGATTTGTACCGACGGAGCAAGGTGAACATAACTAAACAAAGACAAATGAAATTTGCCAGTATGGTAAATTAAAATAATTGCAGGTTCTGATCAGTGTGTAAATAGTAAATGGAAAAAGTGCATTTTGACAACCACAATTTTGATGTCAATATTGTTGTTTTTCTAGCCTGAATAATAAATGTGTTCTTAAATGAATCTTTCACTGACATTTTAGTTTTGCTGATTTTCAGATTAATCTTTTTTATTCAGAACCCAGACCATATAATAGTATAAAAGACTTCACATAAGCTGACTACAGATATTTAGCTGTTTTTCCAGATGTGATCTACTAACAAACATCTAATTTAGCGGAGTTGATTCATTTCAAATTTTGTTTGACGATGTAACAGAAATGATCATTAACATGCTTTTAAGCAGAAGCATAGTATGGACGCCTTAAAAAAAACACAGAAGAAAGATTTATATTGTCAAATGATAGCATATTCACATTAGATTTAAAACAACAAAAGTTGTAATGCATCATGTTTGCTTTCCTTATAAACAGACATTATTACACTCCTAAATATACATGTCTTTAACCAATTATTAGACATTTGTAGCTCTGCTAATTGTGACTTAATTTTAATTGTATACAGATTTACAGGGAATTATCATTTTTACTTGCAACTCCACAACCTGAAGCCCAGAGGCATGTAAAATAACTGTTATATTAATTCTTGTTTACTACAGTCAATGGCAGTACATAGACAGGAAAATGCAATTTAACAGTCTTCTGCATCTACGTATAAACACAGTAAACAAGACAATTTAATATTCCAGACAGCAAAAACTGTATTGTTTTTTGTAACAATAATTTTTTCTATTAATAAACAAAAACATTTTGTTTTGGCACCAATAATTTATTTCCAGGGGCATTTAATTATTTTTAATCACATGTTGACAATTTTCACATGTTGACAATAAAATACAGTCACTAAAGAGTGGCACCGAGTCATTAATTCAAGCTTTTCTTTTTAAAGATGATGATTTATTCAGGAATGAAGGAAATATCTTTATGAATGCTTCAATTAATAGGACTCTAGACTAACTTTTTGCACTGGTGCTACCAACATTTTTTTTAAGGTGAACCAGAACAAAAGTTAGGTGCACCCAAATTTTTGACCCCATCGCATTTAACAGTGCAGTTTTACAAGTTCTCTTTAAACAAAAATATATCCATATAAGAATTCTCGAGTTGTAAATAATTAAGTAACAATCTGGTCAATATTAGGTTCTTTATTTAAAGCACAATTCTACAAAAAGGGTGCCCTTCACCATCTATGATTGGTTGAAACCAGAGATGTTTGTGACATATTGACCGTTTAACCCAGTGGTTACTTAACTTTTTTTAGCCAACGATACCCAACTTAATGCTACCCATTTTAAAAATGACAAGCATGTCGTTTGAATGCTGCAGGTGGGTTAAAATTCTGTTGTTCGCACAGAATTTAGACCTTTAACCTTAGAATAGATCAGTATTTAAAAATGCAATATTTAATGTGTCAGACAAAAAACAGACTTGGCATTTTTTTTATTAAATGATACTTTAATATTGTGCTGATTGGTTAACAGTTTTTTTTAACTGTGGTTGGTTAGGAAAAAAAATTTTAATGTTTGAGTCGAAACTGTAAAAATTTTATGATGAATTAGTCATATAACAACAAATGTTTTTAGTTCACTGTATTTTATTAAACTAATCTAATCATGTTCTAACTTAATTTTATAAGTTTTAACTGAATTGTATAATTTATGAAAGCTGTTTTAAGTCAGTTTAACATAATATAAGTTCAAAGGACTCATAAGATTATTTGATTCAGCTTAAAAATTTAAGGCAACCAGGAGTTTTTTTTTAGTGTATTAAACCACAGACGCACTTTTTAAAAATGTAGTTATTGTATGCCATCGAATGGCTGGTCGCACCACTGTGACCTTATATATTTTTAATCGCACCACTGAAAAATTTGGTTGCACATGTGGCCAAATTTGTCACAATCTAGAGTCCTGATGAATCATGAACTCAAACAATTGATCAGAATATGTGAATGATACTTTTTTCTAAGCACGATCCTAGATCATGTAATGCAAGCAAGTGTACAATAATATACACTGTACATGCACAAATTTGCATCTTTGCACTGACTTTGTAAGTAATCTACTAATGTAAAAAAAAGTTTGGTGAAGTCAGCAATGATTGCAACATAAACAAAGCTAAATGTAATTTTAGATTTCCAGAATTATACAAATTAACTGCATTTTATTAATAATGATTTGTTATTTATTATTTGTTATTACTAATAATATGAAAAGTCCTCAATTTATTTGAATATTTTTTTGACTAAAACTTCAAATCAAACAGATCAAAATCTTAAAATTGCAAAAGGAATATGTATGGATGATGGTTCATGTCAACAACATTTCAGTTTATTCCAATTTAGTAACAATTACCCATGTGGAACAAAAAAATAATAGTACATCTTATTTTAATACTACAACTAATGTTCAGTGTAATTAAACGCTGAAAATTAGCCTCAATATTGCAAGTCCAGTTAAAGTTCATTATCAAGTCATCAAGTCAAAGCATTCACACATGATAATAACAGAGATGCAGTGGCATAATGTAAAAAAAAAAAAAAGTAACATAAAGGGTTTCTGGACAGTGCCATTGTTGATTTATTCCAGCCCTTTTTTGCTTAAGTCTACAGGGAGAATCGTTGCTCCATCAACAAAAAATTCCAAGCTCAAGAAAAAGATCTAATATAAATTTGTCTGATAGCAGGTAGAATAATGACACTGTGGAAGCTTTGCAAAAGGTAGAGTACATATCACGCTTTCCTTCTATTCTATTCTTTATTAAGCCAATGTGGATATATACTGTATATAAAAAAGACAATTCACAAACACCATCATGACTGCAAAGAAAACAGTGTTTTTTACATTGTCTGCTTTTTGAAAATTGAGTTTTTTTACTTTTACAGTTCTTGATTACAGGTAACACAAACCCAGAGCAGCAGATGTCATGAGCTCCATACAGTCAAACTCTTCTGCAAACGAGACCTTTGTTCGTCCTGCAACATTTTTCCTCAGTGGCCTTTCTAATGTTCCACATGCAAAATACTATTATGTGTTCTTGTCTTTAGTGTATGTTGCTACTGTTTTGGGGAATTCATTTATCATGTGTGTGATTTATTTGTCTCGCAGACTTCACACAGCCAAATATGTTGTTGTTTTCCATCTGGCCTTTTCTGATCTGTGTGGAAGCTCGACTGTGATTCCAAAAATAATTGACACATTTTTATTCGAACATCAGGAGATTTCATATGAAGCATGTTTGGCAAACACGTTTTTTATATATCATTTCCTAAATATCCAGTCTTTAACACTACTTGTCATGGCTTATGACAGACTGGTTGCTATTTGTTTTCCTCTACGTTATCATGCTATTATAACCAAACCAACAATGTTCCTGATCCTAGGAGGAATGTGGATTTATTCTGTGACATATTTTTCTGTATTTATAGGTTTGCTAAATAGACTCTCTTTTTGTAAATCTAATGTGATTGATAGTTATTTTTGTGATTACAGTCTTCTGAATAAACTAGCGTGTAATGATAATTCTATAAATATTTTGATGATAAAAATTTGCTTTGGTGTCATGATTGGCATGCCACTCATGCTGATCTTTGTCTCATATTTCTGCATTTCTTTAGCTCTGTTTAAGATTGCTCATGGTGCCGATCAAGCCAAAGCCATAAAAACCTGCACCTCACACCTCATGTTGGTGGCAATTAGTTATATCCCCTATTTAAGTAGTCACATTGCATTCTTAACATCACATATTCAACCAAACACCCGGTTAATTAACCATTCCCTCACACAGACAATTTCACCTATGCTGAATCCCATCATTTACACTCTAAAGACAGAGGAGGTAATGCAATCCATAAAAGATCTGTACAAATCTAGCAAAGTGAGCAGTACAGTACAAATGAAATGTAGGAGAAATTCGAAACTAAAATTACAGGTTTAAACTGTGGTCTGTGAGTTGATGGATTTTATATGTTAGATGTTGTTACAAATGTATTGTAAACAGGCCCAACATATTCTAACTATTTAAGATGAAACCTAAAAAACAAAGCTATACATTTATTAGTTTATTCTAAGTTAAACAGTGAGTCAAATGAAATAACATTTTACTCCCCTTTGCTTTAAATATAACAAAAGGTTTGAAATGCTTCTGCATCAGTGTTTGTTTTCATTATGAATAGACATCTTCACACTTGAATATATTCTCTATATTATAAAACATTCACTGGAATGAGTTTCAGTTCTGCTGAATGTGACCCAAAGTTTGTGAATTACATTTATTTTTCCAGAGGTCAACTTTTTTCTTCAGAGTGATGCAGGCATCTGTTTTAAGGAACTAAATTAGTTTAAGAGATCTTGTTCACCAAAAGTAATCAAATAATGACAACTATAAGCAACTTAATAGCCGTGCACAAATACAGTTTTACGTCCTATATTGTTTTTAATCTACCAACCCATCAATGTATAAATCCATATATTGATGTAACAAACGGTCAAGGCACAATTTTGGGACTGCAACAATAAATTAATAATGAAATCAACTGATTACTTTCATCTTTCATCAAGTCCAAAGTTAACATCATTTAACAGGAATGAAGACTACTTCCTTTTGTAAAACTTATTTGAAATATTTCAGAAGTCAAAAGAGAAATTACTTTCTAGGTCCCTTTACCATACAACATAATGTAATTTTTGTCCGTGTATTTACAGTAAATGCACATTGGAACATTTACTATTAGTAATCTGTGCAGTTTCCATGAAAAAAATCCAGAAGTAACGTCATTTTACAGGAATGAAAACTACTTCCTATTGTAAAACACATTTGAAATATTTCAGAAGTCAACAGAGAAATTACTTTCTAGGTCCCTGCACTGACATATAAATGTATCTTTATGGATATAAATGAACATTTGGACATTCACCATTGGTTGACAATTTTTTGTTATTTATGTTTTTTTTGGTTATGAATTCAAGCAAACATTTTCTTTATGTGTAATTTCTCATCTCAGTTTTAGTGTGCATGCATAAACAGAATGAGAACAGGACATGCATGGTAACTGTGCTTTCTCACCGGCAGTGTTCATAACATGCAGCTGAAAAGTTGTCATTCATTTTCTTTTCGGCTTAGTCCGATACTCATCCAGCATATGTTTTACGCAGCAGATGCCCTTCCACCTGCAACCGATCACTGGGAAACATCCATACACACTCATTCACACACATACAATACAGCCAATTTAGCTTACCCAATTCACCTATACCACATGCCTGTGGACTTGTGGGGGAAACCGGAGCACCCGGAGTAAACCCATGCAAACACAGCAAACTCCACACAGAAATGCCAACTGACCCAGCCAGGGCTTGAACCAGCGACTTTCTTGCTGTGAGGTGATTGCTGAACATTACATAATAACATTTTTTTTTAAAGTCCATACAGCTTTCAAAGCATACTCGAATTCTAATAAAAATCTTCTGGTTAATACTGGTTTAAGCCTAGTTAAACCACTGTTGTACATGCACTGTCAGTTTGTTCAGAAAAATTATGTTGAATGTGGATGTGTGTATTGAGGTCTGTGAGCTCTTCCAATGATAAAAATGACCTGTCCCAGACATTGCGCACATTTTCACGAAACTCTAATGAATGCTAATATCCTCATGCATGTGACCTGCCTTAAGTAAATGTGACAAAATGTATTCAACAGAACTGTGCACACATTATGTACTTATATCCTCTGAATTTTTATAAACACATAAACAATATATATGCCCTACAAATTGTTTTTGCACTACCTAATTTGTCCACAATATGTCAATCCTGATCCCAAATGTTGATAGAAATTTTACAAAAAGATGGATCAAGAAAATCATATTACAAAACACAGTAAAAGATAGAGACACTAGTGTTGGTGAGTTCTAAGAATCCAGTGGCTTCACTATTATTCTAACTGTAAAATGATAAGGTTAAGAATTTGTAAATGCTTCACTACTTTCTTTAAAACAGAAAGGAAAAGGTTGCCACTTACACAAAATGAGGTGTGATCTGTATTACTACAGCTAAATAAAACTTTATTCAAGCCTTGGAAAGAGAAGTATTAGTCTTATATTAGTACTATTACTACTACTAATTATTGTTATTATTATAATGTTAAATGTAATTAAAAATTTAAAAATCTAATGAAGTCATTAGTGCATGTCCAGTCAAAGTACATCTTGGCGTCATTATTATTTCTCAGACTCTAATAAAAATCTATAATAAAATCGAATAAAATCTATAAATCACCATATCCATAATGAGTGCATGCATAAAGGAATTAATAGACATTTGCAACTATTTTAACAAAGTTAATATCAATCATCTATTTCATCAAGATAGATAGTACAGAGACTGGACAGCAAAAAATCTGTACCAAATTATATAAAAATATATATTTATTATATTATATAATATATTATATTTTATGTATGTATGTACAGTTGAAGTCAGAATTATTAGCCCCCTTTAAATCCTTTTTTTTTTTCATATTTGCCAAATTATGTTTAACGAAGCAAGGAAATTATCACAGTATGTTTGATAATATTTTTACCTCTGGAGAAAGTCTTATATTTTTTCCCGACTGTCTACAGAACAAACCATCATACAATAACTTGCCTAATTACCCTAAACAGCCTAGTTCACCTAATTAACCTAGTTAAGCCTTTAAATGTCACTTTAAGCTGTATAGAAGTGTCTTGAAAAATATCTAGTCAAATATTATTTACTGTCACCATTGCAAAGATAAAATAAATCAGTTATTAGAGATGAGTTATTAAAGCTATTATGTCAAGTAATGTGTTGAAAAAATATTCTTGCCGTTAAACAGAAATTGGGGGAAAAATAAACAGGGGGGGGCTAATGATTCTGACTTCAACTGTATGTATGTATACATGTAGGAAAGTTTTCTGGACAATTGCATTGTTGATTTATTCCTGCCCCTTCTTGCTCAAGTCTACAGGGAATACCGTTGCCCCAACAAAAGTCCCAAGCTCAAGAGAAAGATCGAATATAAATTTGTCTAATAAGTAGAATAATGGCACTGTGAAAGCTTTGCAGAAGGTAGAGTATCCAAAATGCTTTCCTTCTATTTCTTTCAATTTCTTTTATTAATATTTTATTATTAGGTAATTACATTATATACAAAAACAAATCATTAACTCAGTTGTGAATGAGAATTATGATTTTAATTTATATGTGCGTCTTACATGACACTCAAGGACACCTTACATAAAAAAACAATCTCCATTATAAACAATTCACATTATAACAGCCATGACAGTAGACCTAATATAAACAACCATATAAATTACTAAAATGACTAAAAATGGATGTTAAGGGGAGATTTTAAAAGAATAGGTTTAATAGTGTTTTGAATGTTGTCTGTGATTGAGTTTACTTTTTCAGTTCTTCATTACAGGTGACAAAAAAACCCAGAGCAGCAGGTGTCATGAGCTCCATACAGTCAAACTCTTCTGCAAACGAGACCTTTGTTCGTCCTGCAAAATTTTTTCTTAGTGGCCTTTCTAATGTTCCACATGTAAAATACTATTATGTGTTCTTGTCTTTGGTGTATGTTGTTACTGTTTTGGGAAATTCATTTCTCATGTGTACTATTTATTTAGCCCGGAGACTTCACACAGCCAAATATATTGTTGTTTTCCATCTTGCCTTTTCTGATCTGTGTGGAAGCTCGGCTGTGATTCCCAAAACCATTGATACGTTTTTATTTGACCACCAGGATATTTCATATGAAGCATGTTTGGCAAACACGTTTTTTATATATCATTTCCTAAATATCCAGTCTTTAACACTACTTGTCATGGCTTATGACAGACTGGTTGCTATTTGTTTTCCTCTACATTATCATGCCATTATAACTAAAGCAGCAATGTTCCTCATCCTAGGAGGAATGTGGATTTTTTCTGTGACACATATTTCAGTATTTGTAGGTTTGCTAAATAGACTCTCCTTTTGCAGATCTACTGTGATTGATAGTTATTTTTGTGATTATAGTCTAATCAATAGACTAGCTTGTAATGATAATTCTCTAAATATTTTAATGATTAAAATAAATTTTGGTCTGCTGCTTTGTGCACCACTCATATTAATCTTTGTCTCATATTTCTGCATTTCGTTAGCTTTGTTTAAGATTGCTCATGGTGCTGATCGAGTAAAAGCCATAAAAACATGCACCTCACATCTCATGTTGGTGGTAGTCGGTTATACCCCATTAATAAGTAATCAAATAGCAGTCTTAACAGCACCTATGCCTGCCAACATACGGTTAATTAACAATTGCCTGACACAGGTGATACCACCTATGCTGAATCCTATCATATACACTCTGAAGACAGATGAGGTCATGCAGTCTATTAAAGAACTGTACAATGGCCGCAATGTGAAAAATATAGGACAGATGAAATGTACAAGGAGATATTCAAAACAGAAATGACTTGTTTAAATGTGACATTTCAACAAACATCTAAATGTTGATGGATTTTTTATGTTATATCAGAAATGTATTTTAACAGGCTAAATATGTTTTAAACAACTGAGCTCAAACCTAGCCAACACGGTATAGTTTTTAAATAAAGCTAAGATTTATCTTTGGGAAATAAAGTCATATGAAATAACATTTTAATCACATTTACTTTAAATAAAACAAATGGTTCAAAATGCTCCTGCATCAGTGTTAATTATTAATTAATTATAAATGGGTCACACTTTATTTTGATGGTCTGTTTGTTGAATTTAAGTTACATTGCATCTAAATGCCAACTAAATCTCAATAGATTACAAGTAGACTGTTGGGTTGGGGTTAGGGTTGGGATTAGGGTTAGTGTAAATTGACATGTACTTGTAGTTAAATGTCTGTTAATGGAGCAGTATCAACAGATATTAAGCAAACA